AGGCAAAGTCCCACATATAATAACTATTTTTAAAATAAATTTAAGAAATCACTTACATATACCATAAGGAATTCAAAAGCATATAGAAGCCAGAGGAAAATTTAATTTCAGAAAATTGCAACTGGAATAGGTAAAGCCTGTGAGTTTGCAGCTTATGGGCCATAGGGTATAACTCAACCCCCAAGGCTACAGAAAATACTGATGGGAAAAACCACAGCTTTACCAGCTAAAGGTGTCAGAGATCAGATTTTAGGACTAGAACAGCAGCCGGGAACTTAAATGGGAAGTCCCAGCCATAAGAGAACCACAGAATGAATAAAACCCAAATTCAGAGCAACTGCCCAAATCCGTGGCTTATAAATAATCTACACAGGAGTGAAGGAGACTCAACAAAAAGAAGTCAGAGACCAGAAACATGTCCACTCTTGACAGATGGAACTACATGAGAGCAGATCTGTGAGTGTGATGCCTTCCTTAACCAAGGACATTCTTCAACTTGGCCAGCTCAACTGGCAGAAGCTGAAGCCAAATGGGTTTGAAGGCTGAGAGTACAGAGCCCAAAACCAGCAAAAGCAAGGTAACCACAGAGAGGGTAAGCAACATCCATGACCAAATCTTTGTCTGACCACCAATTTTTCAGGCAAAGGGAAGACCTCTACAGGGTCAAGCTAAAGAGACAGCCATGGGAAGTCATACACAAGATGTCAGCAACTGCATATTGCGAAGGAAACAAAATTTGAAATTTGGATCCAAGCAAGTTAAATGCCTACTAGATCAAAAATCCAAAATCCTCAGAAAAAAATAAACATTAAAAAAACAGTGTTGCTACAATATATCTGCAATGTCTAGTTTTCAATCAAAAATTACCAAATATGCAAGAAACAGGAAAGTGTGATCCATACTCAAGAAAAAAGGGCAGTCAATATAACTGATTTTAAATAGGCCCACATGTTGAATTTTGCAGACAAAGATGTCCAAACAGCTTTACAAATATGTTCAAGGATTAAAATTAAATAATTCAAAAAGTTACAAGGAAATATGTGCTCAAAGAGTAAACGGAGAATCTCAACAGAGAAATGGACACTATACATAAAAGAAATTCTAGAGCTGAAAAGTACAATAAATGAAGTTTTTAAATGGGCTCAACAACAGATTGAAGATGGCAGATAAACTTGAATATAGATCAATAGAAATTATTCAAAGAAAAGAGAAAACTGTTTAAAGAAAAATGAACAAAACTTCAGAGACTTGTAAGACAGTATGAAGCACCCCAACATACATGTAATTGGAATCCCAGAAAAACAAAAGAGAAAGTAGCATAAAAAATTTAAAGAAATAATAGCCAAAACTTCCCAAATTTGGTGGAAAACATTAATTTGAAGATTCCAAAAGCTCAAAAAACCCCAAAATAACCAAAAATAAAATCACTCCTAGACACATCACAATCAAACTGCAAAAAAGCTAAAGTTAAAGAGAAAATCTTAGAGAGCATTCAGAGAAAAATGACATGTTATGTATGAGGGAACAACAATAAATTATTTCTGACTTCTCATCAGAAACTATGAAAGTCCGAAGATACCAGAAGAACATATGCAAAATGCTGAAGGAAAGAAAAATATTACTAACAATTCTATATCCAGCTAAACTATTCTTCAAATGTGAACACGAAATGAAATAAAGGCATTTTCAGTAAACAAAAACTGAGAGAATTTGTTGCCAGCAGAACCCCAATACAAGAAATGCTAAATAAAGTACTTTAGCCTGAAGGAGAAATGACACTGAATGGCAACTGGGACCAACACAAAAAAATTCTTCATGGCAAATATGTGAGTGAATATTTTAAAACTATGTATTTTTTCATTTCTTTTTTTAATATCTTTAAAAGACATGACTACTTAAATTAAAAATTATAAATCAGTACTGATAGGTTTATAACGAACAGATCTAACATATAACAATATCACTATGTAAATAAAAATACACTGTTGCAAGGTTTCTATATTTTACCTTAAGTAATTCAATATTAACTCTAAGTAAATTGGGATAAGCTTAAGATGCATGTGATCCCTAGAGCAACAACTTAAAAAAAGGTAAAAATATAGAACTAGAAAGCCAATAGAGAAATTAAAATGGAATACTAAAAAATATCTAATTAAAACAAAAGAAGACAGGAAAGGAGGAACAGAGGAACAAAGACCAAAAGACAAAACAAATTGCAAAAGAGAAGACCTAAGTACAACCATACCAATAATTAAATGTAAATGGTCTCACACTTCCATCAAAAGACACAGGTTTTCAAGACTAGATTTAAAATCCAAGACCCAATTGTATGCTGTCAACAAAACACACACTTTAAATATAAAGACATAAACAGACTAAAAGTAAAAAGCTACAAAGAATATATTCCATGCAAACAGTAAGCATAAGAAGTGGCTGTATCAATATTAGACAAATATACTTCATAACAAGAAACATTACTGGAGACAACTGGGATACCTCATAATGATAAAATGGTCAGCACATCAGATAGATATAACAATCATAAATACAGATGCAACTAATAACAAAGCTTCAAAATATATAAAGTAAAAACTGACAGAACTAAAAGGAAAACAAGATGAATCCACAATCATAGATAAAGACTTCAACAGACTTCTTTCAGAAATTGATAGAACTAGACAAAAATACTAGTAAGATTGTAGAAGATCTGAATAACACCATTAATCACCTTATCCTAACAGAAATATCCAGAACACTAAACTCAATACCTGCAGAATATACACACCATTTCAAGTCCACATGGCATGTCATCCAAGAGAGACCATATTCTTGGCCATAAAACAACTCTCAATAATTTTCAAAACATTAAAATATAACAGACTATTCTCTTACTGTAACAGAATTAAATAAGAAACCAACAACAAAAAAAACATCTGCAATAGCCCCCAAATATCTGGAAATGTAGAAGTCAGTTCTAAAGAACCCATAAAAATGACAAAGTAAATAAGAAAAAATATTTTGAACTGAATAACACTGAAAATTGATAAATTATACTTCACCAAAACTTAAAACTTCTGCTCTTTGAAAAACATTATTATAGCAAAATTAAAGTTTTTGAAATATATATCTGATAAAGAACTGATATCTATAACACACAAAGTACTCTCAAAGCTCCATAATAAGAAAACAAACAACCCAACAAAACTGAGTAAAAATATTTGAATCAACACTTCACCAAAGAAGATATATGGCTATCAAAAAAGCATACAAAAATATGATCAATATCATTTGTCACTAGGGAAATGCAAATTAAAAACAAAATTACATACTACTTCCCACCTCGTAGAATGGCTAAACTTCAAGACTAACGATACCAAGTATTGGCAAGGATGTGGAGCAACTGGAACTCTCATATATCACTGGTGGTGATATAAATACAATTATTCCATGGAAATATTTTTATTTTGTCTCTTCAAAAATAAGCTAATCCATAAATATTCAGTAAAAGAAATTAAAAGTTGGCAATATATACCTGAATAATCTATTTTCTTTCTTTCTTTAATTTTTACAGGTTTGATACTGAATTCATAGAATCCAGTGGAAACCAAGAGGAGGCAGAAATCCAGGCACCTAGTCTGATCTGCCCAGGCTCAGCGTCTGAAGGTCCTCCTTCCACTCCAAGGCTCTGGGTCTGCCTTGGGAAGGATGAGGCAGCTACAGCCAACCTCTGCTTCACCCCACAGAACAAAGCCCCGACTATGGAGCAGCAGCAGGACCAGGTGAGACCAAGGTCAAGCTCTTTCTGCCCCACAGCTGTGGTTCTCACACATCACGTTGGTGCCTGTTAATAGTTTTTGTTACTATTTAGTAGGACGTCCATGGCGCAAATGATTTTGTTACAGATTTAAGACCAGCCATTTGGTAGAAAAGGACAATGAATAAGTCTCTCAGGAAAGAAAAATCACAAAAGGGATCCCTCCCATTTTCATTATTCTCCAGGTAGCTTGGTCTATCTCAAATTAATGGCCAAAGAACATGGCCGCTCAAAAAAGTAACATGGAACATCAAAACCAAAGGGCAAATGGCTATCACAACCAAAGGAGCCAAAAGACACGGCGCTTAGGCCTCTATGACTGAACTTGACAAATAATTAACCAAAGGAGTAGCTGGCATGGGAAACTGGTCTTATCACACTGAGAAGGACAAAAGGGAGAAATGCAGATTTACTCCACCCTGGACAGGTGGAGCATACACATAGTGTGAACACAGCTCAAAACCAGAACAAGCCTCTTCATCCTCCGAGAAAAACACAACTCAGAAAACAGCCCATCCATGGCGGTTTACTGGGAAATTTTATTTTTGCTAAACTTTAGAACTTTATGAGAACAAATGATGGAGCTGGGACCAGCTGAGTCAGAGACGTTGACAGCCTTTAAAAATTAAAGAAACTATTAAAGAAAGCAACTTTAAAGAAGAGACCAATTTCTTCGGCAAAATGGTACTTGTTCCATGCTTGCTTCTCGTTACAGCCCCTAAAAATAAGTCTTTTAACGTAACCTGGTTATCATGGCCGACCTTTCTCTCTTCTGAGGTAATGTCTATAAATCTTGGCATCCATTGCGCTTTTGCACCACCTGTCAGCTATTAGCAATGGTATTTTTCCTGACAGCTAATTGGTAACATGAAAGAAAAGAAATGAAAAGCATTGTGCTTACAAAGTCATTTTACACCATCAACTGCAACAAGTATTTGGTGGTGGACATGGCACCGCCTGGGAATCAAAGGGACATGCTTTTCACCCTGTTTGCCAGTAAAACGAGAAAGGTGGTGAAAATGAAATCCATACCTGGTGTGTCTTTACATGACAGCTGAATTAGTGACACTTCCTTTGTCAGAAGATTCCCTCCAAGCAATGCCTGTGCTAAGCCAGTCCTCCAAGGCAGGCACACATGGAGAGGGCCTGAAATGGCGGTGACCCCACACCGCCGTGTGCCCCTCACCTTTCATTTTGGTTGTGTAAAATCCAACAGCTGCTCCGTCTCTCCACAGAATTTTAGCTTGCTCCTTCACAGAGTGAGGTAAAAAAAACATGGCATCATCATCCAAATTTCTCTCCAATCTTCCAAAAATAACGACGTTTAGAATGAAAAGCACAATCCTTTCCCCAAATGACTGAACCTTTGAAGGAAAAAAAAAAAAGGAACAACCAAGTGAGACTAGAGAGGAAGATCAGACATGATAAATTCTGTGCTTGGAACGGACCCACACGTCGAGGCCAGGTGTGTGCTCTACTGTCACACGGTTCGTTTCGTGCTCAAGAGCCAAAACGTGAATCATAGTTTCTCACAGACGTTTTCACATCCCTGACCTTTCACACCAATGAGCCTCCAGGAGTGACGGGCAGTGCCAGAGGGGCCTCCTGGGTCCCCAGGGCCACAGATGTAGAACGGAAGTTGACAGAGAACAAGAAACTGCATGCCAAAGAACCAGAAAGTTACCTCTGGGGGGGCAAGGCCAGCATTTCAGATTTGCTGAATGTGTCCAGAAATAAATGATTCACCATTTTTAACAGCCCCAGAATTTTGGCTCTCAAGAGAAGGGTAAAAAATTGGGGAGATCAATTGTTACCCCAAAAGCAAGTGATTTTTGATGGCTTGTGACAGATTCTGAGCACACACTAGAGTCCCAATCTCAGAGAATGACTGGGACTCGAAGCTCACGCCACTCAAAGGCTGAAAAGTGGAACCATCTCTCACCCAGAGCAAAGTCAGGAAAATGAAGAAACTGTACTGCAGTCAATGTCAGGCCCACCCAGAGCTTTAGCCTTAACAAGTCAAAATGACTTCATGCCCCTGCCTGTTAAAATTCTCTGCATTTGTATAGTCCACGGATGACAGATACGGGCATAAATGGAGGCCTCCCACTCCTGTGCCCATAGCAGACATAGCTAATCAATCATACTCCATGTGGCTGAGCCTGGATACGGTCTCAGAATCCTCCTAAATGCAGTCCTCCCAACAGCCCTAAGCAACCGCTAAAATGGGGCACTTGAGATGAAATCAATCCGCTATTGTCAAAGTGACAGTATCCTTGCATTGGATTTTACTCTGACAATACTGACATGTGACAGCCTAAGTGTGTGAGTGTTTGTCACCACAAAATCAGCAAAACCATTAACTGGGCTGTGACTTCCACCCACATGCCACCATTGGATTCTCACCACCTGCCAAGGAGGTGCTGCTTTACAGGTGAGGAAATTGAAACTCAAAGACGAGAAGTGATTATATTTATTGATTTCCCTGCCTCGTTCCAAAGAGAACCTACGACAGCTGGAGGAGGGCTCCGTCAGAGGCAGGTAGGCTCGAAACAAGAGGCCAAGGCTTCTGAGTCCCAAATTAGGGCACCTGCTCCAGTCCAGCCAGCAGTCCCCTGCTGCATCTTCATCCATTAGAACTGAGACTTTTGGAAAGGGAAGTTTAATGTAAATATTAACACTTGGTTTTATAGTTAATACTTGACCCTTACATTTTTATCATCATCATCACCATTTGTAGTCATGGCTTCTCGGCCTAGATTTGCTGGGAGGTCTTCAGCAGCTCACAACCTCTTTGTGCCTTAGTTTCCTCCACTGGTCAAGGGAAAAGATCATCTAGGTGTCTCTAGAACATTTGTGTGTTTTTCTAATGCCCTGATAATAAAAATAAGGCAGCTTGCAGCATCCTAGCAAAGGGTACAAAGTGTTCAGTGCCAATAAACTTATTAATTGGCCCAAAATGTAAAATATTTCACCTTCATCTGGAGCCAAATCTTAGATGAGAAAAAGATTTGTGAAAACCACCCCAGCTTAACTCTGAGAAGCCACCCCAATTTTGTATCTCTGACAGTGGCAGCCAAATCAAGCTCAGACTTTAAGAATAACTAGCTAGTCACAAAACCTGATGGGTGTGATGTGGGAGGTTATATTTTTCAACTTATAAAACCAAAAAGTTCAGAGGGAAGCCAGCAGAGAAAAGCAGATCGCATCTGGCAGAAGGGAAATATCCAATCAAAACCTGGCAAGAGAAGAAGGAAAAAAGAAAATGCACTTAATTTGTCCAATTTCATTACTGGGGGAAAAAAATGTGTGACATGTGACTCTGACTTAGAAAGGTTTCTGAAAACACAAAACTAAGATCCAGGTCTAATCCCTCAATTAGGACCACTAATTATGTTAACAGAAAAAACATTTAAAACACTTTTTTTGGTAATTTGTGAAGAAGAGCTAGCTAAGAAACAAAATGTAATTAAAAGAAAAAAAAAGAAGTTGCAAAGTTCTATAAATGGAAAGGGGAACTAGCCCCCGTCCACAGCTGGGGAAGGATGGGTTGACAACATGGTTCATTAAGTGGCAATAGCATCCAAGTTTCTTTCTGTTTACAACATAGGCCACATTTTCAGAAGATGTGGGAGTTTTCCTCATCTAAACTTAGAAGAACTGGTACATGAAGGAAGTGACCACTCTCGTTCTGAAAAAATTATTTAAAGAGGAAATCAGACTCTTCCTAGCACTGAGAACACCAAACCGCTAAACACCACCCGGCCCAAGGCAAACAGGCCGGGACAGCAACACCAATGGGCGTGCCAGGCAGCCCCACTGGGTATATCACGCTCATTTGCTGAATCTCAAGCCCATCGTTAATTTGCTGGAAGAAAATCCTTTTCAAAATAATATCTATTGAGTCAATTAAAACCAGACCTGAAAATATCCTGCTGTTTGCAACAACATGGATAGATCTTGAGGGTATTATGCTAAATGAGATAAGTCAGACAGAGAAAGGTAGATACTGTATGATCTCACATAGTAGAATCTAAAAAAGCTGAACTCATAGAAACAGAGTAGAATGGTGGTTACCACGGGCTGGGGGCTGGGGGATAGGAGAGATGTTGGTCAAAGTTTGTTGTCACAAACTTCCAATTAAAAGATGAATAAGTTCTGGGGCTCTAACACACAGCATAGTGACTACAGATAACAATACTGCATTATATACTTGAAAGTTGCTAAGAGACTAGATCTTAAATGTTCTCACCACAGAAAAGAAATGCTAATGACCTGATATGATGGAGGTGTTAGCTCTCCTATGGTGGTAAGCATTTTGCAATATATAAGTGTATCAAATCAACACATTGTACACCTTAAACTTACGCAATGTCAATGTCATATGTCAATTACATCTCAATAAAGCTGGGAAAAAACCAGACCTCAAAAAAGACAACCCACAGAATGGGGAAAAAATCTTTGCAAATCATATATGCGATAGGAAACTTGCATCCAGAATATATAAAAATCTCTTACAACTCAACAGTAAAAAGTCAAATAGGGGCTGGCCCCGTGGCCGAGTGGTTAAGTTCGCGCACTCCGCTGTAGGCGGCCCAGAGTTTCGTTAGTTCGAATCCTGGGCGCGGACATGGCACTGCTCATCAGACCACGCTGAGGCAGCGTCCCACATGCCACAACTAGAAGAACCCACAACAAAGAATACACAACTATGTACCGGGGGGGCTTTGGGGAGAAAAAGGAAAAAATAAAATCTTTAAAAAAAAAAAAAAAAAAAGTCAAATAACCCAACTAAAATGCAGCCAAGGATTTTAACAGATATTTTCCCAAAGAGGATATACAAATTGCCAATAAGCACATGAAAAGATGCTCAACATCCTTAGCCATCGAGGAAACGCATATCAAAAACATGGTAAGATGCCACTCCACACTCACTAGGATGGGTAAATAAAAAAGACAGACAATAAAAAGTGTTGGTGAGGATATGGAGAGATTGAAATCCTCAGACACGGCTAATGGGAATGTAGAAAGGTACAGCTGCTGTGGAAAAGAGTCTGGCAGTTCCCCAACGTGTTAAACACAGAGTTACCACAGGACCCAACAATTGTACTCCTAGGTATTTACCCAAGAGAACCGAAAATATATGCATGTCCACACAAAAACGTCCATAGAGGATTATTTAGAGAGCATTATTCAAAAAGTGGAAACAACCCAAATGTTCATCAACTGATGACTGGATAAATAAAATGTGGTATATACATAAAATGGAATATTATTCAGCCATAAAAAAATGAAGTTCTGACACGTTACAACACAGATGAATCTTGAGGACACTGCGCTAAGTGAAAGAAGCCAGACCCAAAAGACCACACATTATATGATTCCATGGATGTGAAATGCCCAGAATAGGCAAATCCATAGAGACAGAAAATAGATTAGTGTTGTCAGAGGCTGGGGGAAGAGGGACATTAGGGGTGACTGCTAATGTGTATGATGTTTCTTTTTGGGGTAACGAAAATGTTCTGGAATTAGACAGTGGTGATCAACGTACAATTTTGTGAATATGCTTAAAAATCAATGAATTGTACACCTCAAAAGAGTGAAATTTATAGTATGTGAATTACATCTCAATGAAGCTGTTGTTCGGGAATAAAAGCCAGAACTGGATTTGTTTTCCTTTTAACTGTTCAACAGAGAAAAGAAAAAAAAAAAACCTGATTATCACCACATTCTTCAAACCCAACCTGAAAGAATACTGATATTTCATTCAGTATTCACAGGGTCCCGTGAGAGAGAACCTGTGCAACTCCAGCCAACTGTGCACAGACCCACCACTTCAAGACTGCCAAGAAGCACCATCCTTCTTCCCACCTACAGAAGTAAGATAAAAATGCCAATCAAATGAAAAGAGGTGAATATTCCAAACTCTCAGCTGGTTCCTACCCTCCTCCTCAGCCGTGGCCCCAGCCAAATCTCAGCCACGAGGACTCCGCCTGACCTCTGAGGAGCTGCTGTGGTGCCTGCTTTCACCCTTGCCATCCTGGGTCTCTGCTCCATGAAGCCACAGCACTTCAAAGACTGCCAGGCCTGACATCAGAGAGACTGGAGCTTATGTCCAGAAAAATCACTTACTAGCTGTGTGGCTCAGCTTCAGTTTTCTCATCTGCAAAACAAATACCTTGAATATTCTGAAATTAGGTCGTCCCTGTAAAGAGTCTGAGGTAACGCATGGGCTGGATGTCACACAATGTCTGACTCACATTAAGTACCAACAAACATCACTTGAATACACTAAGCAGAACTTTCCTACACACTAGAGAGATGCTGTGGATTAAAGTTTTAAAACTAAGACATGAGAGGCCACTCAGGAAGGTAAAAGAGATTTACAGAGATAAACAGATATCTGTTACATTTGGCCATTTACTACTATTTTCCTTGCTGGGAGGGTATTATGGATTGAGTTGTGCTCCCTAAAAAGATGTTGAAGTCCTCACCTCCAGTACATGAGCAAATGATTTATTTCCAAACAGGGTCTTTGCAGAAGATCAAGTCAAGATGAAGTCATTAGGGTGGGCCCTAATCCAAGGACTGGGGTCCTTACCGAAAGGGGGTATTTGGACAGACAGACACACAGAGAGGGAAGATGATGCAGAGACACAAGGAGAACATCATCTAGAAGCCAGGAACACCTGATGCCACCAGTATCTAGGAGACAGATCCTCCCTCACGGGCCTCAGAAGGAACCAGCCCTGCTGACATCTTGATCTCAGACTTCCAGCCTCCAGGACCATGAGACAACACATTTCTGTTGTCTAAGCCACTCAATTTGTGGTATTTTGTCACAGAGCCCTACAAAACTGACCCACAGGGGTAGACTGGTTTAAATTCTTAACATGATAATAACTACAGTGACTATTAACACCTGTTTTGCAATGTCTATTTAAAATTACATCACCTTACCTTCATCAGACCTTCTCGTGCAGGATCAGAGGTTCTCAGGACATCCTCGGTGGTCCACCAGCTCTCCTTTATGTAAACAGCCACAACTAAAGAGGAAGCCAAGAGAAAAGGAGGGTGTGCACACAGCCGACCGGCCCCCAGGGGAGCAAGTTTCAACAGCATGGAGCCCCCGTCAAGGGGCAAAGGAGAGATTACGCATAGGGAAAGCCAGTGATACTTCTAGCGGACGTTTTCTGAGAGCACTGACCAGGATAGAGTGGCCACTATCACCTGCAGGGGAAGTCACAGATGGTTCACTGTTGACTCTAAAATAGGATGCATCCCAATGTCGCTGGGCAAAAAAGGCTACACACCAATATTGACAAATTCAATGAGTAAGACTCACATTTCTTTTCAAAGTCCAATTATGTGCCACAACTGGGAACTCCCCAAATTGAGTCAAATCCAACATTATCTCAGGGCATTGAACAAACCCTCTTAACATCGCCCTTGGCCCTTGGCTGCCTCTACATGATTTTCTTTTACTCTCATAAGGAAACTGTCATCTGCATGTTTCTGAGGAGGACGCTGAAGCTCTGAGGGGGCCTGAGGCGGGGTCCAGCCCTAGGCCGCTGGACCCCAAGAACAGTGCCCTTTCCAAGAAGCCGGAGATGGGCCAGCTGTCAGGAATGGGGCGCATCACACCAGGGTGGTGGGGGTGTCTTTAGGCAAGCAGGTCCTGGGGCTGGGAGCTGCAGGAGGAGAAGGGTAGAGACAGCCCTCCTCCCCCCACTCTCGCCTGGCCCAAGTCTAAACAGTCACGGAAGCTGCTGATTCTGCCCATTCTGAGCTTGGACACAGGGTCTGCTGCTTGGTAGGGGTGACCTCGGCACACCCTCCACCTCACTAAGCCCTACACTCCTCATTGGAGTTGCCCAAACTGATCACCCGAGGTGGCTGACAAGTTCTGATGAGGATCGGGGGTGACAGGCCCCGCCCAGGGCCCGGCAGGTGGAATGTGCTCGGTGCCTGCTAATTAATGAGTCAGCTCTCCTCCCCTGGCTCCTGCGCCAGTCGCCAAGTGCCTCACTCCCACCTGCTGCCTCGGGATGGCAGCCCTGGATGCCAGCTGGGTCCAGGCCACCATCATCTCCACAGGTGACTGTGACAGCCGTTCAGCCTGTCCCCTGCCTCGGACTCCCCGTGAATTTACCCCTATTGAGTGGCTGCTCCAAAGGCAAATCCGGTCATGGCCTCTGCCTCCTGTCTCTCAGCTGTGCAACCCTCCCGTCCGTGCTTAAGAATTACATTTGAAACACCAAAGTTACTTTGGTTGTTTTCTGGTATCTTTTTTTTTTTTAATTAGGACGTGTTTTAAGAGTAGTTTTAAGGTCATGGCAAAATCGAGGGGAGAGTACAGAGATTTCCCATATACCCCCGGTACTCACACAAGCATAGCCTCCCCCATTATCGACATCACCCACCAGAGCAGTACAGGTGTTACAACTAAGCGATCTACACTGGCACATTGACCACCCAGAGGCCAGAGCTCACATTCGGGGTCACTCTTGCTGGTGTACGTTCTATGGATTTGGACAAATGTATAATGACATGTAACCATCATTATAGTATCACACAGAATAGTTTTACTTCCCAAAAAGTCCTCTGTGCTCCACCCATTCATACTTCCTTCCCAGACCCCTGGCAACCACTGATCTTTCTACTGTCACCATAGTTTTGCCTTTTTCAAAATGTCATATAGTTGAAATCATACAGTCTGTAGCCTCTCAGGTTGGTTTCTTTCACTTAGTAATACGCGTTTAAGTTTCCTCCATGTCCTTCCAGGACTAGATATCTCAAAATTCCTTTCAGCACCGAATAATATTCCATTGTCTGGAGGTACCACAGTTTACTTCTTCTCTGGCATCTTTTTTATACCCCTTTTATTTCCATTTTTATATCTGCTTCTCATCTGAGCCCCAGGGGTCCAGAAGCCACAAAATAAAAAGATGCACTCTCCCAGTCAAATCTTTCCAGGTGAAGATTTGCAGGAAAATGTTAATGGAGTAGAAAACAAGTCACCTGAACATGTAATATAAGGCTCAAGACTTTGAAGCAAATTTTGTGGGCTGCTCAGGTTAAGCTGCCACCCCCTTCTTCCCTATTTCTCTCTGATCTTTGAGGAACTTAAGTAGAAAACTCTGTGAAGACCAGGTTACAATGACATTAGCCAGTTATTAAACATTAACTCTGCACAGCCAGCCCCTCCTCTCCAAAGACCAAAAGCATCTAATCCATTATGTCAGTTTCATATCATTGGTGAATTATATCATCTCCAACAATAGTTCCAAAATTGACAGAGCCAGCTGAGAGAGAAGGGCCAATTCAGTGCTTGACATCTGCCTTCATTTATTCAGCTAAATTCATTTTCAAAATGGCACCTACTAGAACTTACAGGAGGATTACAAAACTGTAAGGATTATTTTCCTGCTTAACAAGGTGAATCAATAAAAGATGTTCAGTTTACTAATACAGTGTATTACTGAAATACAGATGTTCAATTTACTATGATAGTTTCAAACAGGAAGCTTGTTATGATTTGGTGTTTGCACGGTGCCCTGCAAGTTTCATGGTGCACTGCAGAGCATTAATTAGTCACACAAGTTGTCACAAAATAGACTGAACTGTCTTTTTCAAAACTAATCTTAAGCTGCTACGTATACATAACAATGAAGGTGAATCCCTATCAAATTTAACAAGCCTCAAAGAAATTGTTCTCAAAACCAACTCCTGAAAAGCAGGGTCAGCCTTCTAGAGAGCAGCAGCGTTTGATCAGAAAAGCATGATACCATCCTACCGAGTCAAGAGGAAACAGGAAGGAGGAAAGGTGGCAGGGGCAGCGAAGAGAGGTTGTACCCAGCTCAGCAAGGACAAAGGATGGATCCCGGGGCACTGACAGGCACTGCAGAGCCAGCCTCAGGGCATCACTTCTGAGACCCTGAAGCCAGCGAGTTCTGAGACTTAGAAAGTGGAAACCACAACATCCGTAGTTTTAAAAGAAAAAATATGATCCTGATCAGTATCTTCTAGGCTCTCCACCATCTAGGGTCTAAGCAGAGACTAGACACCTGCAGAAGGCTGTACAGTGGTGACGGCAATCAACGGGCATTGTTAAAGGCCAGCCTCACTGCACCAATTTAATTTCCCTTTCCCCCTGAGTGACAGGTGATGTGGAACACAAGGAAGATGTCAGTAATGGATTTCATACTATGACACTCCAAGGTTTCCCAAACAAGTGAAGACAATGAGGTCCTAAGGCTAACTTCCAGTGGCCTGGCTTCATCAAGGCTCAGCAAGATCAACTGAACTCAACTACCCTTGGCCGAGTTCCCAAAGGCATTAGAAGAGGCTGATGAGTAAGCCTCCACTCTTGCCCCTGGGAGTAGGCAGCCTACAGAGGAGGAGAGAGCTTCTCTGATTCAGGACAGGGTGTGAAAGGTGCTGGAATCAAGCTGGGAACCAAAGCGTCACAAGCACCCAGAGGAGGGAATCAACTGTACTGAAGGGTATTGGGAAAGTGAGCCTGGAGAGCTCCACCAGCTCAGGTTCTGGATCGGTGAGTAAGGTTTCAACAGGCAGGGATGATGCGCAGGGGCCCTGCAGGCAGTGTAACCTGTGAGCAGAGGCACAGAGCCCTGCAAGTCGAAGGCCACACCCAGGGCATCCCAAGCAGCAGGAGGAGCTGGGTGATGCCTAGACAAGGGAGAGACAGGGCTGCAAACACTGATTATGGCAAGATTGCAGGATACAAGGCTAACACACAAAAGCCAATCATCTTCCTATATACCAGCAATGAACAAGTAGAATTTGAAATTAAAAACACAATACCATTTACATTTGTACCTCCATAAACTGAAATACTTAGGCATAAATCTAACAAACTATGTACTAGATCTATATGAGGAAAACTACAAAACTTTGATGAACAAAATCAAAGGAGGACTAAATAAATAGATATTCTATGTTCACGGATAGGAAGACCCAATATTGTCAACATGTCGGTTCTTCCCAACTTGATCTGCAGATTCAATGCAATCCCAATCAAAATCCCAGCAATTTATTTTGGGGATATCGACAAACTGATTCGAAAGTTTATGTGGAAAAGCAAAAGACCCAGAATAGCCAGCACTATATCAAAGGAGAAGAACAAATTTGGGGGACTGACCCTACTCAACTTCAAGACTTGCTATAAAGCTATAGTATTTAAGACACTGTGTCCCTGTATCAGTGAGGAAATATACAAACAGATCAATGGAACAGAATGGAGAGCCCAGAAATAGAACCACACAAAAACAGAAATTCCTCTTTGACAAAGGAGCAAAGGCAATAAATGGAACAAAGATACCATCTTCAACAAACGGTGCTGGAACAACTGGACATCCACACACATAAAATGAATCTAGACACAGCCCTCTCACCCTTCACAAACACCATCTCAACAAAACACACTGGCTTCATTCATTCGCCAGTCTCTAATGGACTGGAGTTACAAAAGAGAGCAGGACGACAGAAAGCATTTTAGATACTGCCCTATATACCTGGTGTAGAAAAAAAGGATATGAACTTCAGAGCCAGATGGGGCTCAAATTCTGGCTTATCCAATTACTAGTTGCGTGACCTAACCCCCACCCCACAGCCTTGAGTCCCCCGCATGTCAAATGGAGACTACAGTATCCTCTCACCTGGTCATCACACAGGTTTCTGGAAAGAGTTCACTTTGCCAAACTGCTTTTCCTCGGTGTTGGAAGCTTTTAAGTGGTTTCTAGAAACTTCCTCCACCTGCTTCAAGCATTGTTCTGGGATTTCAAAGAAGTATGAAAAGCCCTTTGTTATTTGTTGGGTTTTGTCAGTGAAACAATGGAAACTGCTTCATAACACTCCCATTTCTTCCTGGGAGCTCCCTCTCCAAACTTTCTACTCTAGTTTACGTGGAAATATCTGTCTTTCTTTCACAGCTTGATCACTGCCAGCCTGTCCGCTCCCTCAAGTGGATATGTTTCTACCTACCACATTTTCTCATGACTGTTCCTTTTTCTATCAGGGAACG